CACCTGTTTTACATAACTGTTATACACACACCTGCCTGCCTACATACAGACCTACCTGCACCACATACACGTGCCTCCTCCCCCACACACACTAATGGTATAATGAAATCAGTAGCCCAGGTGTGTGTGTGTGTGTGTGTGTGTGTGTGTGTCCGTCCGTCCGTCCGTCCGTCCATCACTAATGAACACAGTCTGGCATATGACAGGCTTATGTGTTTGACAGTCTGGGGTGGTCATAGTGAAGACCTTGCCACGTCCTTGACAGACAGACAGACAGACAGACGGATAGATAGATAGACAGGTGTACAGTTAGATAAGATAGGTAGACAGACAGACAGACCGATGGATAGATTGGTAGACAGATACAGTTGACAGACACACAGTTGTACAGGTATATAGGTAGACAGATAGATGTTCAGTAAAATACCCAAGCATACAGTCAACTCAGCATGTGTATATATATAAATTAATATAAATTGTCAACCAGCAACAGGCGTGCATGACGGGTGACCCAGGAATGTCTGTCTCTGTGATTATTATGACCGTTCATGTGAAGACGTTAGCGTGAGTCACTACCACCAAACCCCTTTATAAACCCCTATATACATTCTTTATAATATATCTATATACATTACCATCTGGTATAGTGTTAAGGGGGTGTATATGGTGGTATATGAATGTATATGGTAGTGATATGTGGTATAGGAAAGTGGGGAATAACTGTATAGGAAGTTTTCTGGTTTAGTGTGGGTTGCCAATGCTCAGTGTGTGTGACAAGAGGCAGCCCAGAGCTCAGTGTGTGGTGAGCGTTAAGTGCGTGTGGACGTGTTGGGAAGCCTTGTCTGTGTCGAGACTTCCTACGTAGAAAAGATCTCTCTGGAAAGTGACGCAAACCTCCATTTTCTATGAAGAGATAAAAAAATAGAAATTAAAACAAACACTTCAATATTTTTTTAATAATTTGGGCCTCCTCCTCCTCCCCCACCCAAATAAAAAAATATTGAGAGGTGTGATCTAACTAAAAGGAAACTATTACGTGCTAGACTATAACTAAAGTGGTGTTATATTGTAGTCAACATGGTCAGGTAGAGATTTGAGTGGATGGTTTGCAATGGCTTATATCATGGGGTTCAAATATGGCTTCTGATCTTGTGTATGTCTGTCTGTCTGTCTGTCTGTAGGCAACCTGTGGTGTAATGGTCAGCATGCACGCTTCGCAAGCAAGACGACCCGGGTTCGATCCCCGGGCAGGGTGAAACTATGGGCACGTTTCTTGACACAATTTGCCTCTGTCTACCCAGCAGTGATTGGGGACCTAGATGTTAATCGAATTGCAGATCGTGTTCTTGTGTAATGGTTAGCCAGTGCAGTTAGCGAGTTGTCCGGTCTTCTCGGACTATTCCTTGACACTGGGTCATGCAGCTCGTTAAGTTAGGGTGTGGTTGTTGTGTTGGCGACAGCTTCTACACCTTAAACAAATTCACGTCCTAGGTGGCCCTTGGACCGGCCATTCTCGCTACACGGGGGCCAACCATAATATGAATATCTGTTTGTCTGCCATGTGTGTATCTGTGTGGACGTTACAAATATATTTACACGCCATTCACCAAATATTCTAATGTTCAGGTGATAAATCTACTAAACATCTGAATTCCTGTGTTTAATTTCAAAGATCCAAACATTACTGATATTAGCCACAAACATTATATAAACACAGGTTCTATAAACATCGTATAGTAACTTTGAACCCCTGATATAACCCCTTCGACAGTCACTAAGTCAATGTGTATGAGTAAATGTATGACGATGTATATAAATTAAATGTATAAATGTATATATTTATTATTCATGGTGGGTGATGTAGGAGTGAATGTATTAAAAACATATATCGGATGTATATAAATTAGATGTACATCCAACCAACCAAACTTACCTAATCTAACTATTTTTCTGTAATATTTGGTTACATTTGGTTAATTACACATTTTTAGTGGTGTTACAGTACTGTATTCTGGTGTATTAAATATGTGCTGTATTTTTATGTAACCTTTTTAAATTCAATAGGTAAAAATAGGTCTTTTGATTCGTGGTATGGCATTACAGTATTAGTTTGTTGTGTTAATTCGTGTTAGTTTAGTAGTTTGGTGTGTTACTTTGAGTTAGTTAATATTTCAGTTATTCTAGAGGTCAAAATAGCGTGAAATCAGTGAAACCGTTGGAGTTAAAATTCCAAAACTAAATTAAATTCCTCCCGGGAGTGCCTGACCGGGTGGGGTGAGGTGGTGACGCGTTCTAACCGTTCACGGTGGCGGGTTTTGCTTTCCACATAATTATTTTCTTCTGCATTATTGTCATGTTTCCTGTTTATTATTGTATTATTATTTTATTAATATTGTTTTATTTTATTATTGATCTGTTGATATGAGGAAGCGTATTCAAGATGGAATTTAAATGCTTTATGACAGATTGTTCGATACTTTTCTTTAAAATATTTTGTATTATTTGTATTTGTGTTCATTTTATGTATTTAATGGTGTATTATTGTATTTGTGTATTATTTGGTATTTAATGGTGGTGTATTTTGGCTACATAAGGGGATTAATTATTTATTCAGCTCGGGCTTGTCGCGTCAGATTGTTCCCTTAATGATGCTTAAACCAGGAAGTGGGGGGTGAGGGAGGGAAGAGAGCATGGAGAGAGGGAGGAGGGAAGAGAGCATGGAGGGAGGGGAGGGAGGGGAGGGAAGAGAGCATGAGAGGGAGGAGGAAGAGAGCATGGATGGAGGGAGGAGGAGGGAAGAGAGGGGGAGGGAGGGAAGAGAGCATGGAGAGGGAGGGAGGGAAGAGAGCATGGAGGGAGGGAGGAGAGCATGGAGAGAGGGAGGGAGGGAAGAGAGCATGGAGAGGGGAGGGAGGGAGGGAAGAGAGCATGGAGAGGGAGGGAGGGGAGGGAAGAGAGAGAGAGAGGGAGGGAAGAGAGCATGGAGAGAGGGAGGGAGGGAAGAGAGCATGGAGAGAGGGGAAGAGAGAGGAGAGCAGGAGAGGAGGGAAGAGAGCATGAGAGCATGGAGAGAGGGAGGGAGGGAAGAGAGCATGAGAGGGAGGAGGGAGAGAGCAGAGAGAGGGGAGGAGGGAGAGCATGGGAGGAGGGGGAGGGAGGAGAGCATGGGGAGGGGAGGGAGGGAGGAGAGCATGGAGAGGGGAGAGCAGAGAGGGAGGGAGGGAGGAGAGAGAGATGGGGAGGGAGGGAAGAGAGCATGAGAGAGAGAGGGAAGGAAGAGAGCACGGAGAGAGAGAGGGAGGGAGGGAAGAGAGCACGAAGGGAGAGTGGAAAGGATGGTTTTAGTGTGCGAAAGGGAGAAAGGATGAAGGAAAGGAAGAAACGAGGGAGGGAAGTTGGGTGCTCAGGAAAAAGAGAAAGAAAGGGGGAGGAAGAATCACGGAAGAGGAAGGAAGGAAGGGAGAGAGGGAGGGGATGTGTGTAATGGGTCTCTCAATGAAGAACTATGTACCACGCCTTGCCATTGTTGTGAAGAGGGGGAGTTACCAGGGGATTAATGAACAGACCTGGCATAATGCACGTATACATGGCCCCTCCCTTAAGTGCACACACACACACACACACACGCACGCACGCACGCACGCACGCACGCACGCACGCACATGCACATTCCTCTCCATTCGCTATCATTCCTAATTTCCTTTAGTTATTTCAATTTTCACACATTCATTCTTTCTTCATTCCCTATTCCTTCACACATCCATCCATTCATTCTCCATTACTATTTCCATTCTTATTCATTCTTCATTCACACATTCTTCCTTCTATCTCTGACCGAGGTAACATATTCAGGTGTTCTGCTATGGTACACCCCACCACCTACACGAGCCATAAATATCTGCCTACGAGAATGAGAGAAGATTCTGGAAGGTTGCCTATCAGATTCAGAGAGTAGGTATGTAGGTTAGGTTTGGGCTAGTGATGACAGACACAGACAGACAGACATGTTAGATGGCAGAATGTTTATGGCGACGGCAACACACACACTCACTCACTCACTCTCACTCACACACTCACTCAAACACACTCACTCAAACACACTTATCATATCAAATGGCTGAATTGACCTCTATGATATCAATGACGGTCTTGACTTATTGAACACAAGCAACATTGTGTCTTATTGTGTTGTTCACTTAGGTTGAAAATACCATAAGTGATTGGTGGATTTAAATTGTGCTTGGGTAATGTTCGTGGAATTGACATAGTCCCTTGAGGAAATTACGCAACTTGAAATAGAAATAGCTAGATTATCACGTGTTTTCTATTTATTTTAGTATAAATGGCGTTGGATTGGCTATATGGTATCCTCCTCTTCTCGTATTATAAACAAATAATGGTGTTTGATTAGACGTGCAGGGACGCATGTAAACACAAACATCAAGCCACTTTATAAACAGGTGTAGAACTGTGGCGGTGCGTGTGGTGGTAGTGGAGGAGGTGGCGGCAGCTTACCTAACTTGGACATGTGGTCGTAAGTGTGGGTGTCATGAGGCCACACCACAACACTATCTCGCTATGTGGGTGATGTTTGTGTTGTGTCTTTACTTTTACTGTAAGGTTTGTTACTAGATAAATGTGGGTTGAAGTTTTAGATAGATAAATATGGGCGTTGCTCTAGGTATCTTGTAGGGTGTTAGTGGCAAGTAATGGTCATTGGTCATTGTCAAGGTTCAGTGGGTAAGTAGGTCATCTGAATATGATAATTCGTATCCTACCACTTTCTCACTTTAGATATATTAACTGAAAGATTATAATTTTGTTCTGGCTTGTAAAGAATAGTGTAATATTTTTAAGGGGAAGTGTCTGTAATTTCATGATTATTATAGTTGGTGTGTGTGTGTGTGTGTACTGAAAGATGAATGTGAAGTGTGTGGTATGTATGTAATGGATGAGTTTTGACTAGTGATGATGGTACAACCCCTCCCAACACCTTACAGAGTGAACCATCCCCCTGGTGGCCAGACTAAACTCAATGATGATGTTAGCCCCGAGAACCTAACCGTTAGGCAAGTTTAGTTATTTTATGTATAATTGTTTCTTGAATGATATATAATACTTTAAGGTAATTAAGATTAAGTTTTTAACCTCTGGTGGTAAATAATAATTGATAAATCATTTGTTGTGGATGCTAATGTTTTCTCGCCTCGGCAGGGTGTTGAAGCCTCCCGGTGGTGGGTCGTCCATCGTCTTCGGAGAGGATGACACCAATGTCCCACGTCCCAGGCCCAAGTCCCTCCCCCAGCAGGAAGCTCCACAGGAAGAAAAACAGGAACAAACTCCCAAAGTGGAGACAAACGGTACGGCCACCCCACAGAGTGTGAAAGATGATGCTGCCGCCACCAAGGAAAATAACCCATCGGCTGCCACCAATGGGTCAGTCGCCACCAATGGGTCGGTCGCCCATGGCTCCCCCACAAATGGTACTCCCTCCACTGGCTATCCTAGCAGTAGGTCTTCCAACAGTGTCGGCACTCCAACTTTGGCCAAACAGCTCGACACTCAGAGCCGCCTCTTTGGGAACGAGCCGGCCCTGAGTACCCCCAGCAGGAGAATGAGGGACCACTACCGCAGCAACATCTTTACCGCTGACGAGCCGATGGCAAAGCAGAATGGATCTTCCAACGGGCCCCGGGCAGGTATGCAGTGATTGGCCAGAGAGATAATTAATGAGGAATATTAGATAGCAAATGTAGTTATGTTAATATTGCAGACCTGTTGTGGGATACCTTGGTAGGTTTCTGTATCGTCTTGTGGTCAGCATGACGAGGTGAACAAGGTGCCTGTTAAAAATACTTCATAAATATTCTCTTTAAATGATAGTCACTTACGTGGGATTACTTTCAACACACACACACACACACACACACACACACGTATCACTAACTTACGTGGGATTACTTTCAACACACACACACACACACACGTATCACTACGCTCAACCTAATCCAAACCTAACCAACCCCCCATCTCGACCAAACCTAACCTTAGCATATGACCTGTTAATTAATTTACTAATCAATATAGTACAGTTTACATTATTCATAAAATAAAAGAATAGACCGAACATTTCCACGCACCTGAGGGCATTAGTGTGTCTCCAGCACTTGTCACTATGAGGTTGATGGCACCTTACTTTACAGTTTGGGTAGCGAAGGGGACAGAGTACAGTGCCGACCAATCACACTGCCTGCATCCTTGTGTGCTGAGGCTTAGTAATCGCTGCTCCCATGTCCACACTAACCCCCTAATGGGCCATCAGGTTAATAGGACCAACTTTCACTTCCAATGACAACCACATCCTACACATCACGACAGATAGGAACATGTGTGAATATATCCAGTGAGTTCTTGGACTAGTTGGTGTTATTTGTAGTGTGACTCATAATCAATCTCCTGTGCCAGTTAGATATAGTCGCTATTGATTGTGTTGCTTGAGGGTAACAGATAGATTGATTACAGCAATACTAAATAATACATTATAGAATTTATAGATTGACAACAATTCAAAATATATTCATTATAGGATTCCACTAAGACAAAATCCCCTCCCCCCCAGGACAAAAAACCTAACCTAACATTGAGAAAAATTAATACAAAAGGGGATATTTGTCCTACTTTGCTCTGAGGTGATTTTGTCCGAGAGGCTTTTGTCCAGGTATTAAAAATGTTCAACACCACTGTACACTGTTCAGACATATAAGGCCAGGTAATGACTTAGCTCCAAGCAGCACTTCTTGCCTAATCAAATCAGCATCAAGGGTTCATCTGTCTTGTGTGATTTACCAGTCGAGTCAAGGTCCTGCGAGGCTACATGATGTGTTGAAACCCTCTCTGTAGACTCTTGAGATCTGAACCCTTCTCCAGGTGATTGGTAATACTTTATCAGTATTTTTACATAAATTACCCAAGATAATGTTTTGATAAGAGTACTTTTACCCACCACTTAAAATATTAGTTGCTTGGGTGGTTGGTCTATTCTCTGCACGGCTTCCATGAATTCCTTTTCAAACACATTCAACATGCATAGTGGAGTAAATGGTCCATTTCTTTATTAACAACCCTTAACCTCCTTGTATGGGACCTCCTGAACTGAATAAAATCATCAGGTGTTTGCAAAATGAAATATTAAATATTACCCCCATAGTGAAGGGATTAACTCGCAGCTAAGACATCCCCCCTACCTCCTCTCCCCACCTCTCTCCCTCCGCAAGTACATAAATGAAAAGTACTTAACGTGATACTTGCACTGATGATGGCTGGTGTCTGATGCTCAAGGTGATTACTGTATATCCTAATTAAACTTGTCTCTCTTTGACAGGTGACCAATTTCATCACAGTAGGTCAGGTGTGAGGGGCTGAAGGGTGAGGTCCCAGTTTATGATCAAGGGGAAAGATGTACCGACTTGGTTTCCTTCCATCCCTCTTGCCTTGATGGGATTTAAGAGTGACAAGAGTGAGAGGGCAAGTGTGAGGGAGTGAGAGGGCAGGTGTGAAGGATTGAGAGGGACAGAGGGCTGGGATTCAAGATTGGTAGGCACAGAGAGGGCTGGTGTAAGGGACTGAGCACACTCCTTTAAACCTCACTGGTCTTTGAATCAAAAATCAAATCACACCAGTAGATGATTCCTCGACCCTGATTTGATTAGATAAGAACTTCCGGCCAGTAAAAATTGTCTTTCTTCGACTGGTAATTAAATCCGGCCCTGAAACCTATCTAGCCTCGTAGAAGATGATCACGTGGGATTTTGTGTGTGTGTTTTAATGAGATTTCTGATACATATATATACTTGCTACTAGTTATTTAGTGAGGTATGAACCCAGTAGTTATATGTGGGATTCCTGTCCATTTACTGCAGGGGCTCACAAAGTTCCTCCCTTCTCCACATACCCACACATTGTTCCCTCTTCTCCACATACCCACACATTTTTCCCTCTTCTCCACATACCCACACATTGTTCCCTCTTCTCCACATACCCACACATTGTTCCCTCTTCTCCACATACCCACACATTGTTCCCTCTTCTCCACATACCCACACATTGTTCCCCCTTCTTCACATACCTACACATTGTTCCCCTTCTTCCACATACCCACACATTGTTCCCTTTCTCCACATACCCACACATTGTTCCCTCCTCCACATACCCGCACATTGTTCCCCCTTCTTCACATACCCACACATTGTTCCCTCCTCCACATACCCACACATCGTTCCCCCTTCTCCACATACCCACACATTGTTCCCTCCTCCACATACCCACTGGTTGTGTAAGTGACCGGAGCCTAACATGAGCTACCTGGGGGGTGCAGGTAGGGTATGGCATGAGAGGGTCAGGGGTGCAGGGAGAGCAACTATACCAGTCAGAAGTCATTCACATAGCCACTGACTCTACGATAAAACAGGTCTGCTTATTGATCTTTTAGGCTATGAAAGGACTCAAAGCTTATGAATAGTTAGAGATATTTTCTGTAATTAATAATATTTACCATTAATGTTGTCATCTGCAGCAAACAATCAGTGGTGATACACAATGACGTGAGTGATATACAAACAATACTACTTCCCCTCGCAGATTCCAACCCATGTAACTCAGATGAGTCGCCCATAAAAGTCCCATCGTGCCTCCTGCTGTTACTCCACGAATCCAGAAATTTGGACTCGTGAACCCGAAGCTTTAGACTGATGATTCGGATTCACGAGTCTGAATCTTCGTGGTTCGGGAGAAGAGGCGAGTGAACCTTTGTGGGTGACTGGTTCAGTGATAGGTTAGCTCTGTCTCGCCTGCCATTTGAGATGTGGGTTGGAGTCCCGTAGAGGCAGTGGTATTAAACGTGTAAACCAGTGTTGAACAGCTTGGCACCAGCACTCACTTATATTTATTTTTTAAGTGTGAAAAAAAAAGTTTATATTGCAATTTGATTTCCTCATTAGCACTGATATTGATGTGTTAAGTTACAGAAGGTACAGTATATTACAGTAACTAGGGGCTTAGTTGGTACACAGGTATGAAAGTGGCTCTGTTACATGCAAAGTTCTAGGTAGGATTTACTGTAATCTGATCCTCTGAGTAACTTGCCACAAACAGGATTACCTCGAGGATTAGTGTCTCGATTTGTTAGCTAAGACGGCATTTGGTAATAGGAAGGACATTCAAAACCATAGCACTGCTGCAACTTTAATTAATGACAACTGGGACACCTTGCCATCAGGTGTCCCTAACCAACGACAGTCTGGAAAATGGCCGTAAAACAATGATAGGCAATTAAATCTAACCTAATCAAAATTTGGTTATGATTATTAGTAAAGTATTGAGATAAGATCAATTAATATTTTAGCAAAGACAAACCAACCATATATCTCCTAGGTTTTGCCTCATTTGCTCTTAAATAAGGGTTTAGTCATCCTGTTTGTGGTATTTTACTAACATTGGCCACATTACAGATTTACACCCTACTGTGGACTATGTTACTGGTCTATAGCGATAACCGACTGTCTTCTGTGTAAATTAATGAACAATTCACTAAATGTATCAAGCTTAGTGTCTCTTTAGTATGGAAGTATTGCTCTTTATCACAAGTATACTGCAGTTTACTAACCTTATACACGCGTGACCTGCATAAAAGCACTCTTAATCTTGCACCACCTGACACCATATGATGTAAAATACTGCTCTTTGTCTATTGCTTGTCAGCTTACTAACATTTTCTGCAGGTTAATATGGTGGTGTATCTGTATGCTGGGGTTACATGAAGATTACCCTCCACCCTCCCAGATTATTTCGGCTTGAGATTAACCCCCAGATTATTTCAGCTTGAGATTAACCCCCAGATTATTTCAGCTTGAGATTAACCCCCAGATTATTTCACCTTGATATTAACCCCCAGATTATTTCATTTCAAGATTAACCATCCTACTGCTAATCTAACCAAACCTTAACAGACCCAAATTCAACAAAACATAACCTGAGCTAATTTGACCCGACCTAACCTAATCTGATGCAACATTACCTAACCAACCATAACCCAACCTACCCTAACCTAACCTAACCTACCATCCCCACCCTCTCCCTAGGTAAAGTAAGGGTGGTTAATCTTCAGGTGAACTCAAAATTACACTTTGTACATTATTTGGTTAATATTATAGCGAGGCGTCTTTTTCAAGGACGTGTGTACAGTACATCGATCAAAATACCGGTTGAATCGACGAATTTCAGAATGAACCCTGACCCCTGTTGTTTCAGTAGAGTTGTCAAAATCATTTATTCTGTTGCCATATTTAACAATCTCGTAAGGATAGATTTTGTTTGACTGTAAATCAAAATATACTGTACTGTAGTGATATATAATCCCCATAACATAATTTTTTCAGGATTATTTCTATATCGGTAATGGTCACATAACTAAGGAAGTGTACTAATTCATTCCTGTGTGTGTGTCTGTCTTAACTATTCTGGTATATATATATATATATATTACATGCACCAAATTTACCATCTCTGCACTAGGACTAACCACAGATCTGTACAGTATAGATAGTTATTCACTTTCATTGCACAAATCTTGAACTAACCCGAGTTTTCCTTTTTTTCTAATTTAGAATCTTATTTGTGGCTTTACTAACACTTGAAGCTTGGATCTGTTGACAGGGGGAGGTATTAAGGCAACCGAGAAGCAAAATTTCAGGAGGGTATTGTCTCGTACGAATCCTTTTGCCTCGTGTGAATCCTTTTGTTACATGTGAACCCTTTTGTGTGAATCCTTTTGTTACACGTGAACCCTTTTGTGTGAATCCTTTTGTTATACGTGAACCCTTTTGTGTTAATCCTTTTGTTAAACGTGAACCCTTTTGTGTGAATCCTTTTGTTACACTTGAACCTTTTTGACTCCTTTGAATTCTTTTGTGAAGTGTGAATCCTCTCGACTCGTACAGATAAACGGAGCAGTCATATTACTTGTTTAGGTGTAAGGAGGGTGGGTGGGTGTGTGTGTGTGTGTGTGTGTGTGGGGTTCAAGGTAATAACTAATCATTAACATGCTTCTAAGTGCCATCTTGCCTTAATGGTTTAGTCTTGTGCTCTACCTACCTTAAACTCCCAAATTGATGGGTTAATGTTGTCTTATCTTCCCTGAACATAGCTTTAGGGTCATGTGTGTGTGTGTGTGTGTGTGTGTTCATAAGACTGTGGTTGTGTTCGTTAAGTTTAGATATACAGTAATTGATGTTAATGGACATTGCATGTGATTTAGGATCGGTATATTGCACAGGTGTTATTTAATTTAGTATTATAAGTACTTAGTATAAAACCAAAACTTGTAACAAAAGCTTAGGAGGCAAAAGGATATGAAGAAAAAAAAGGGGAAAAAAAATTGGCTTTCACTTCGTTTCCTTCACCGTGCCCTGAATGCCAACCCACCCCCTCCCCCCCCCCTAATGAGTGACTAATCAGTAGCTTTTAACAAGACTGGCCTCCTTGCTTTACAATGCATGCTATCAGTGTTTTGTGGGACGTGGACTCGTCGGGACCCGGTGACGGGGGTGGGTGTTCTGTGCTGGGACATCCATGCTCCCCGCTTTGCACCTAACAAGAGGAAAGGTAACATGTGGAAGAAAGGTCTGTTGGCATGGGTTCACTCATCCCCTCAATATATCCAGGTTGCCATATTGTGCATTAACCCTTAGAGGACGAGTGGATAGAACAAGGGTCCTTAAAGGGTTAAATCGACTTCAAAGGGTTAAAATGTTGTTCTCAAAGGGTTGAACCGTCGTCCTCAAAGGATTAAGTTATCGTCCTCAAAATTTTAAAGCATCGACATTAAAAGGGTTGAACCATTGTCAAATCATTAAACCATTATTCTTGAAGGGTTAAACTAATATTCTCAAAGGGTTAAACTAATATTCTCAAAGGGTCAAACTAATATTCTCAAAGGGTTAAACTAATATTCTCAAAGGGTTAAACCATTATTTTCAAAGGGTTAAAAGAATCATTTGAAATTAAATACAGATACAGAGTGCCTAAGGAAGAAAGTATACAGTACACATTTCCTAACTAATTTCCATGTTACCCCTTTCCCCCCCATGTCTGTGTCAATCCATACGTTAACACTAGTTGAAATACAGTAAACGTCAGAGCTATAGATAATTCTCGGCATGCTCTTTCATACCAATACAATCTTGGTGGAGTTCAATTACCATATTCCAATTTCTTCGATTTTTACTCAATTTGATGTGGAGATTTGAGCAGGGATATATACAGGGTGTCTAGGAAATGTGTACTGTATAATATACTTGCTGCATTACTGATTTGGGTGGCAGTTGCGTTAGTATGTCCTACACCGAAAGCATTGTCCTTACTTGACGTGTGTTCTGCCGTAAGTGAGGACAGTGATTGACGCGAAAATGCTAGACAGTATATTTGTGTATACTTTTCTGAGACCATGTGCAGTATATAAATTCACTGATAGTAATGTGCGTATAGTTAAGAGAATGTGCATGTTTTGTATATAAATGGTTCTTACAATGCTGATGGCTTGTTGTTTGATAAAATAACTAAATGTCAATGACTGAAGCAATTAGAGTTTGTCAATGAGTTAGTCTTGCTAAATTTCATAGCATTTAGATTCTTTTGCTTGTTATTTTTTAATCGTTAGCTACAAAAGCGTTAATTGTAATGAGAAAATAAACAATTAAGCTTTGAAGTACTCGGTGACTTAAGCTTTAGATACGACTTGAGCTTTGTCTTGAACCCAGGCACACAGACCTTACAGTTAAGTCCAGCTTAATAACTCGAGCTTTTGTTTCTAACCAGATGCTTAAGGATAGAGCTTATTGATACTAGTATGGTTATGGTGGTGGTGGCAGCATCGTGTATAGTATAGCACCATGGTAGAATACTATATGGTAATAAAAAAAAACACTAAGGCTTTCAATTGTTCTTGTTGTCTTTGCATCTTTCGCTGTTATGTTATAAGAGTTAGTTAACATATTTTGTGTATATGTTAGTGAATAAGATAAGTTCATAAGGAAGCAAGTTTGAGGACACTTCATGGGTTCTATTTAGGGATATGAAGTTGTAATGACCATAAATGTTGACTTGTTACACCCAACCAAAAACTCATGTCGGTTCTCCATCCCATCCATGAACCCAAAGATTCGTGAACCAATGAATCTGAGACACCACATAGCGCATCATCTGTGGGTCCAATAGTGTCTGATGTTTTGGATTCAAGGGTTCACAAATCTTTGGGTTCGTGAATGGGATGGAGGTCTGACGGGATTTAATTTTTGGCTGGGTGTACTGTACAATCGCCTGCAATTAAATCTGGTACAGTGGTTGATAAATATTGAGGTGTGGCAGTGTTGAGTTTGTTTACATTGTATTAAAATGCCCAGATTAAGGATGCCAGATAAGCATTCCACAGAGTTGCCACATCTCGCAAACCACGCCAGCCACTGTATCGGGTATAAGTGGAGGGGACTACATTATATTGTATGGAGAAGCATGTGTCATGGTGGAGAGATGTATTGTACTGTCTCTAATCTTCAAGTGTGAATGTTATAACTAGAGTAATTTTAATAAAGTTGTTTATACTGTAGTAATAATAGTAGTAATTTGTTGACACCTGTTTGATTAAATATTAAGACAGATACTTGAGTGTTAATGACTAATTAGACATGTCTCTGTTGCATTTTTATTATAATTAAGATGTTAATGGCTAACTAGGCGAGATCCTGTTGCAACTAATATTATAATTTAGATGAGTTCTTGTTGCAACATTACATAATACTGTACTGTGCTTGTGACTATTACATCAATGACCGACTCCTTGTAATGTGTGTATGTGTGTGTGTTATAGCCAGCGCCGCCGCCGCCCCTGTGATCATCGAGGTGAAGACCCCAGAGCAGCCTCAAGCCCAGCAGAAACAGAGGCAACGTGTCCCACCAGGCGGGTTCTCCAGCCAGCTGTGGTAAACCTGCCCTCCCCCTTACCCACCCCACCCCCTGCTGGATAACTACAGTACTAACTCAACTTCATTAGCAGACATTATTTTGAAAGATAACACAGGCTATCCATTTGATGTATTGCATCATTAATTCAACTGCTAACGGGAAATATAGCTTGATTTAACCACACACGATAATGTTCGCAGTCATGTATTCTAATTCAGGGGTTAATTTGTTTACACATGAAGGCTAGAGTGTAACCGTGGGATTCTTTCATTGCTATCTTCGAGTATAGTTTTGTTCTTCGTCGTATTGCCAAAGTAAAATAGCAGAGTTTGAGTGTGTTGGAGGCGAGAACTGTAAGTTATTTTGATGTAATAGAACATAACCTGATCGTAACATAGCACATAACTGTTAGTCTTAGTTGTAATGTACTTCTGCTGGAACACATATATTGCATAAATAAACCAGTGCACATTATCAGTCTTTGTTGCCCAGCGTAAGTAAGACCTTTCTGATAGGTTTCTTATTATTTCTTTCCTTTATACTATTAAGGCAAGGGTTTAGCGTGCTGCGTCGTCTAGCCTGGCAACATTACGGCTGCCATATCAAGCTTTCATTTGCTACATGAATGACAGAAAGGTTCAACATTAATTAGCCAAATATATATACTGTATACTTTGCTCAATCATCTTGCTTTATAATCCAGTTCATCTAAGGTTGGAAAGTTTAGTTTTGTAAGGCCATTGTATTAATAAACAGCCATTCCATTTAACTCTTAAGTAAAATTAAGCTCTCTAGAGACTGAGGGTAACTCATTAGTTTTAATGACTGAATAATGTGCCTCAAGTTCCATCCGTTTAATATATATCATCTGCAGTGAGTTATGTCATAGATGAATTTTGTTTTATTTCATATAAAATTGCACTTTAGTTAACACAAAGCTGTGAGCAGCTTCTCTTGTGCACCTTCTTCAATTGTCTATGAGATATTCCATCAACTGTGATAATTTTTTTTGAATTTGTTATTGCTAGAAGGGTCATGATATAATTGTAGTGTCTCACAATTATGGTCTTAAGAATTTGGGAAGCTCATTATAAAATTGGCTCCATTTGGCTGTAGCAGAACTCATTTGTATTAATTTTAATAAATCTAATCATCTATTTGTTGTTTCTTAACCATTATGTTGTGATGACTGGTACTTCATCTTAAGCTGGTAACCAATGTTCCTCTCACAGTCTGGGTCAGAAGTGAGAAGGGTGTTATCCAGTGTGATCCTCACTACCAAACATGACAGGTTTTCTCTGGCTACTCTGGTTTCCTCCTGTGCTAAAACTGGACAACAGTCACAACAAAGAACTGATCTCACGGCCTATCAGCTAATAAAAGATAATTGATGAAGTGATAAAGTAAATAAAATTGATATGCACATTACAGCTGTACCACCAACAGCCACTAACTTTAATACAACATAGATAGAAACCTTATTTATATTTAAGTATTTTATTATATTCCTATAGTAGACAGTAGGTAAATTTCTTATGAGTATTAAAGTTACTAATGATTCAAACTTTTATCACTAAACAATAATAAATACATTTCTTCATAACTCGTCCTGGTTCAGTATAGGTTAAGTAACACCATAATTACAAGACGAGCGTAAATATATCCATAAGCTTTAAAATATTGGACTACAACTCCCAGGTCTCTGTCACCACTTGCTGCCCATCACCATTTAAACACTGTACACTGACACCATCATTTATAACTGGGTTTGGGATGACATTATACCACTGTACTTAGAAGAATACCTCCTACGTGTGTGGGGTTGGGTTTAGATTAGGTTAAGTTAGATTGGATCAAAGGCAAGTTGTATTAGGGCTAAGTGAGGTACCCTGTAATTAGTTAGAATGTGTGTTGCTAAGAGTAGGATAGGTTAATTAAATGTTAGGTTATGTACTATTACGGGAAGGTAAGGTTGTATTAAAAGATAAGTTGACCTTTTTTGAGCACAATTAGGGTTGACATTGTTAATCTTCCTCTGCTCAATTATGTGGACCACCCCTCCCCATGGCCATGTAGTTAACAGGATTGACTACCTTAGCTTATAGAGGGACATGACTAATAGCCTCGTTACTATATATGAATCCCAAAAAGTTAGAGATTTTTTTTTAGCATAATTAATAAAAAAAAATGACATATCTGATCTTTACCTTCACCTGAAATATACTTTGCATTAAAGTTAAACAAAAGTACATAAGAAAAGTGTATTATCTTCATCTGAAAAAAATACCTGCATGTGTGGTACTGAAACAATAGAAAAACTTTAACTTCATCTGAAATAAATTGGCAAAAAGAATGAAATGCATAAGGGCCAGGACATCAACACCTGAAAGAAATACATTTATACAGGCAGTCCCCGAGTTACTAATGTCTGATTTACAAACGGTATCCCTGTATATTTACACTATCACAATCTAACTAAAATCCCTTTACATTAATTTCATTCTATATTTTTCAACATCACTTAATTTACAGTATTTACATTAATATTTACATCTGGGATATTAATATTTTTTATGTGCAGGGTTGTGCTTTAACCTAACCTTACCAACACTGTGCCGACAAATAGGTTCTAGGAACGTATCCCATTTCGTAACTCTGGGACTGCCTGTGTTGTACTACAAAATGCAAACCTTACCATCATCACTGTAATGCCTCCATAAAACACATCTCAAGTGTTAGTAATACTTCTAACTAAACTTGAACATTGTAATCTAACCTAACCTAAGCAAGCCTTGATTTATCTCGGCACCTGACATTACCACCGCTAGGTCTCCAGTACTGGCGGGTCAGCATTGTTAGTAATAAAAAAATATAAATAAAATAGACTCCCGGACAAAGCAAGGCTCAGGGTGTGTTTTATTGTAGAATTATAAATGAAACCAGTATGTTTATTAGATTAATTTATCTAATATTCTAATTCGAAGTAACACTGAATATTGTATAGTGTGTTTTCAAACCCTTAGAAGTATTTATAAATTTAGATGTGAATATTTCAAAACTGCTCCCTATTACAGTATAATGGTGCCTAACATCTGTAAAACTGACAGTGTACACTTACCCTGTACTGTACACTGAAGTCTGAACCCAAACCTGTAAAAACATAAACCAGAGTTAGATACAGTACAGTACATACAAGCATTTTGTTTAAGCCCCCGATGAAATAAATTAAGGATTATTATATCTTACTTCCTTCACCATATTTCTGCCAACAATGATTATCATCCATAATAATTTCTGAAAATCTTATAATTTTTTCATACATTTATAAATCAAACAATTTTTAAATGTACAGTGGTAATACCAAAAAAATCCACCAATTATTAATGTGGCTGATTACTTCCATTCCTCGTACCTAAGGCCTTCAATGAGGTTTTATATGGTGGCAAAGGTAGAAAATTTCTCCCCCAAAACTCAATACATTCCCTTGTATAATCAATAACTGTTGCTACCAGAGGATGTCAGGAAATCATGAACAAAGTTAAGGCACTGTTTTGACGGTGGTGGAGACAGCTTAGATGTAGGGTGTGTCAATTTTAGTAAAGTCAACAATTAAAAAACTACTACAGTAGTACTGTACTCAAATAATGCCATTTTATGTAAGAAACTTAGAAATGCCTTTTTTGTTTGAAAAGACCATTTACCTACTTTCATTTGGCCACAAAGTTTTGACATATAACCTAAATATGACAGTATATCAGTGTGTCACTGATCGGTGTGGTCAACTTTGGTGATATTTGGTACACGGTTTCTAAGCTTTACAGTCACAAATGCTAAAGTTTTGATTGTCAATATATGTGTTTTCCCTCCTGATGATCGAGATTACTTGTAATGTAAATATTGTGAGGTTCACACTGACTACAGATGCAAGGAGGAGCAGATGATACCAGTACAGGAGCTTGCCTTCATCAGAGGTGGGTAGTGTTGGGCCACACCAGATGGGTCTATAGCTGATTGCCCTAAGACCAGGAGATAGGAAGCAGTGGTGTATAGACAACAGCAGAAAAGGAAGGCCGAAGAGAAGAAGAGGAAGGTAGAGGAGACAGCCAAGAAAGAAGAAGAGTTGAGAACGGAGTCACTACTGGAGATGGAGGAGACTGGAGATACAATGGCGAAGGCGGGGAAGAGTACAACGTCTCCATGTCAGAGGCAGCAACAACTTCTTCCTTGCCTGTGACTAAGAAGAGATATAACACTGATAATATCACCAACATAGCTCTGGCTAGCTTGAGGCATCATACTGGGCTGAGAGAGACTACAGAGATTGCTACTGCTGCCCGGATTGATGCTGGTCTTATCACAGAGTGACTCGGCACTGGTGATTGATCACAACAAGGTGATGAGGGCCCAGGAAAGAGCGACTAAGGAACTGGCTAAGAAGTTTGATGAGATTTGGTAAAATTGCATCACCTGTATCTTCTTTGATGGGAGAATAGATGACACCAAAGTGATGATGAAAGATGAAGGAACTGACAGGCAGTTTCCTGGAGTCATTAAAGAAACACACTACACTGTGCAATGAACCAGGTGGGAAATATTTATGACATTTGGTACCAGAGGAAGCTACAGGGGAGAGAAGTCATGCTGAGGTCATTGCTGATCATTTGGTGAACTGGCTAAAAGAGAGAGGAGCAGACCAGATCCTTTTAGCCATAGGAGGTGACAGCACTAATGTGAATACTGGCTGGGAGGGAGGAGTAATGCATTATGTGGAGGCCAAGCTCGGCAGGAAGCTGGTGTGCATTGTCTGTGACCTGCACACGGGGGAGCTGAGTTACCTAGTGACTGCACTGAATGGAAAGACATTAAGCAACAGGTGGTCGGAACCCCAAGGGAAGATGATAGACACTGCCACTGAATTGAAGATCAACCCAAACTTCACGAGGATCACTGTTGGTCCTCCTCTACCCAATCTCTCTCAGGAGGTAGTCAAGGATCTCAGCACAGACCAATCATATGGCAACAAAATCATCAGATCAGGACAGGTCACTCAGGGTCTAGCTCTCCTTGAGATTAGGCCAGTCTGTCACAGTAGGTGGCTCACCACTGCTCTAAGATTCTGCAGATTGTGGATTTCCAAACATGGACTGAAACATCTAACGACAATTGTGGAATTCATAGTGGGAGTCTATATGCCAAACTGGGTCAAGATCAAGTTAAATCATAGCTAGGTGGAGGGTCCCAGGCCTGTACTGTACCAGCTGAAACTGCTCACAAGTCAGACGAAGGTTGTAAGAATAGTGAAGAGATCAGCCTGGTCTGCACACTGAGGCTGTGCTCCAGGCCATGCTGTGCAGTAAAGTCGAGGAGGGAAGCTGTGAAAAGGATACTGGAAATCAGAGGTGAAGGAGAGTGCAGTGTCAGACCCAGGACTCCTGACGTTAACCCAGATACCACCAAACTCTCGGAGCTTATTGAATGGATCTCTGGAGTAACAGCCTCCTCTGACTTGCCCCCTCACCACTGCTGCAATCATGGACTTTCTGGATAGATTAATGGAAGTTCCTGCATGGCCCACCCACACACACACACACACACAGTCAGTAGAGAGGTGTGTGGGGATGACAACTGAAGCGGCACATCATCATCAACATGTTTACTCAAAAGAGAGGAGGGAGGCATACATCAGGGGCCAGGTGGCCAGTAGGGAACTCGTGTCCAGGAACAGGAGCAAGAAAGACATGGCCACCTTGGTAAAATTCAAGAAACCTTTCTAATAATATACCTGAAAAAATGTTATGTACAACAAAAATATGCAAAAATTGCTAATTTTTCATGAATTTCAACTCAAAATATAAGTCGCTAGAAGTGGTCAAATCCGGATTTTGAAGCCACATTTCGATTTAGCACATAAAAATGCACAATTTAGTCACTAGTAGTCCTTGAAACTCTCAACTTTTTTCACTTAGCAATGAGAATCTACCTCGTCTTTACACTGTGGGAATAATCATCTATTATGAAAAATATTTCAAAGTGAGGTGCTTCAGTTTATCGTGAGTAAATGAGTCAGTTGAGAATGAGCCAGTGAAGCAGTTGTGACCCAGTCAGCTCACAGCGCCCCTGACCTCCGTACGGGTTGGACGTAATACCTCTCTCCATGACGCTGTTATTTAATGTTTGTTGTAACTAAGTCAACTTGATTACACGGCCGAGGAAGTGACTGTGGTACTGCCGGAAAAGTGATTGTGGTGGTGCTACTGGGAAAGTGATTGTGGTGGTGTTACCGGAAAAGTGAACTGGTGATTGTGGTGGTACTACCGAGGAAGTGATTGTGGTGGTGTTACCGGAAAAGTGATTGTGGTGGTGTTACTGAGGAAGTGATTGTGGTGGTGCTACCTGGGAAAGTGATTGTGGTGGTGTTACTGAGGAAGTGATTGTGGTGGTGCTACTGAGTGATTGTAATGGTGCTACTGATGGAGTGATTGTAATGGTGCTACTGAGTGATTGTAATGGTGCCACTGAGAGGGGAACATTTATTCCATTATATAACTCCAAATATTATTACATATACTTTTCCTGCCAAAGTAACAGTTCATAGTTAATATAAATTTGACTAATTCACCAGGTATATAGATTACTAATTAAACAGGTGATATAAATTAATAGTCTAAAACGGCTTGTGGGGGGACGTGTAGACCTGTTACCTGTCAGCTGTAGTGAATAATTTCTTGTATTTCATTTCCAATATATACAAACCTATCTCCACAGTGCAATTAGATTAGTATTAACCTGAAAAGAAACGATACAAAGTAATAATTATTTAAAAAAGTGTCATTATTCTTACTTACAGGGTAAATTAAAATTGACGTAAATCAACTGTTTAGTATGAAAAACTATTGAGGCAAAATATCTAACCAAATAATACGAAAATTTACTGTAAATTCTCTATTATTCTTTGATAGGATATTTTTTATGTAGATAAGAGCTGCTATTGGTTACTTGATCGTTTAACAGAAGCGAAATACAGCTCAAATATATGTGATTATCCAATATAAATACTCTATGTATACTCACCATCGTTGATATCGCTATAAAGATGTGTTTTGGGGGAAATAATCACTACTGGCACTAGTTATATGGCACTAAACACACATGACACTTCATCGGCTCTTCTACTCAATTGGTAACTTTCGAGGGATATTAATCTAGGCTTTTTTTATTTAATCTGGTAGTGGATAGATTATATAAAGTTACAAGTTATTTAGAATCACTTAAAACTTCCACCTGGAGGATGAGACCCGGGGGTAAGAACTTAAGATAAATTAAGATTAATAAACTATCTCTATCGAGTCATCCAAACTGACCTTAATTAATAAATATTGAGATAGTTTTTCCCATTTAAATTATATCTATACCCAACATTCAAGTAATAACACTACAGTTCATGAAAATTAACACCCCCCAAAAAATATTTCTCTTCAAACGTCTTGATACTGTAAATAGATACTAAGATTACTAATTTTATCTTTTAATTTAACCATATACTATTGATAAAAACAATTAGACGTCTTTTTCCTAGTTAGCTATGAGTAGTTTGTTAGTTACATGTTAAAACTGATAATTCAATCACTAGAGATCGGCGTTAAGAGTTCTTCTCGAGGCTTTACTGTCTTGGATAATTATTCATATTTATGAAGTCATTGTCGTCTGAAGTCGTGTATGTACTCTTGTGCTAAACCTTTAAAATGAGTGGTGGTGCTGGAGGGTGAGTGGTGGTGATGGAGGGTGAGTGGTAGTGCTGGAGGGTGAGTGGTGGTGCTGGAGGGTGAGTGGTGGTGCTGGAGGGTGAGTGGTGGTGATGGAGGGTGAGTGGTGGTGATGGAGGTGGTGGTGGTGGTGATGGAGAGGTGGTGGTGGTGATGGAGGTGGAGTGGTGGTGGTGATGGAGGGTGAGTGGTGGTGCTGGAGGGTGAGTGGTGGTGATGGAGGGTGGTGGTGGTGATGGTGGGTGAGTGGTGGTGCTGGAGGTGGTGGTGGTGCTGGAGGGTGAGTGAGGTGGTGCTGGAGGGTGAGTGGTGGTGATGGAGGGTGAGTGGTGGTGATGGAGGTGGTGGTGGTGTGGAGGGTGAGTGGTGGTGCTGGGGGTGGTGGTGGTGCTGGAGGGTGGAGTGGTGGTGCTGGAGGGTGGTGGTGGTGCTGGGTGGTGGTGGAGGGGTGGTGGTGGTGGTGGAGGGTGAGTGGTGGTGATGGAGGGTGAGTGGTGGTGATGGAGGGTGAGTGGTGGTGATGGAGGGTGAGTGGTGGTGATGGTGGTGCTACTGTGGAGGAAGTGATTAAGGAATTTGTAGTTTCTAAGATAGTACAGTAGTAATTTGTTTAGGGAGTTAATTTACTATAATAGGTAATTTGGTATTATTTTACTTTCGGACATAGTGCCCCCGAAAGTTATAAACTACTTAAACATTTAGATCTTGCTGTTGTGACAATTGAGAGGGTTTGGCGTGACTTAAAGGAGTGGATTAAAAGGCCTGGTATCTGGAAACACTTCCTGAAGCAATACATAGCAAGATATATATTCATTCATGATTCTTCTGGAAATGTCCTTCATAAATTCTTGGAAGAAGCTGCCCGCCTATACCCCCCGTTAAGTGAGAATCAACGTCAGCAATCGGGCCAATAAGGTAAGAAATAGGTGATTCTATCATATGGTGAGAGTCAGTTAAGTTAAGTTAAGTTAGGTTAGGTTTGGTTTTTGTTTTTCTAGTGTTTTTTGGGTATTTTTTAGTCGGTGTGACAATGCAAATTTACCTGATTTTCTCAAAGGAAGCAGCCTGGGTATGATTTTAATTTCATTGACCAGTCTCACAATGGCCGTGGTGGAGTATGGTTGTCGTTTGTGCTCCTACGATTAAGTTTAGTGCCGAGTTTTACGAGAAAGATGACCATTCTATCCAATTCTTGCATATCCCTGGTCCTTCCACTTCTAACTCGGGGCATTGTACTTTCGGACATGACGCCCTGCAAAGCTTTTAACTACAGGCATCCCCCGCGTTATGGAACCCCGGGGCAACGTTAAGGTAGGACTGGGTGTACTAAGCTCTTCCTTACATTCCTTTAATACTCTGGCAAATATCTCATCGGTACCTGGCGACTTCTTAGGTTTACTAACATCGTTACTAGTCACTACTATCTTGCTTGATTTATTTTCTTCATTATTTCTGTATATAGTCGGTGCCTCGGGTATCATGTTTAAATTTTTGGTGGTGAAAACTGTTGTAAAATATCTTCAGATTATTGCTCAGTTCTCTGTCGTTAGCCTGCCAGTATCTGACTGTATTGGTCCAATATTGTCACGTGTTTTAGTGTGATACATTTGGAAGAACCTCTTGGTGTTTGACTTTGCCTCCCTTACTACCTTCAGTTCTTTGCTTTTCTTATCTCAGTCTTAACCCTACTGGCCAATTCCTTATAATAATCTAGGAGGTAAACTTCAGCCGTTCTTTGTCCAATAATATTCTTTAAACAATTATGTATCCATTTGGAGTCATTGTTATTTGATCTGTGTTTTTTGTATGGTATGTTTTGCCTTTGTGTATTAAGTAACTCGTTATTTAAATTGTTGTGGAACTTGTCAACCTCAGATCTCGTGATGTCACCAGGTAAAGTGAGGTCGCCCTCCGGGTACATTGTGTGAGGTCATATAATTCACTGCTTGGTTTTGGGACCACTTCTGTTTACAGTCTACACCATTAGTCTTGCATCTCTGCTGGATGTCCGTAGATGCTCGGGGTGTTGGCTACCGTTTCTATGCTGATGATAATGAAATCCTTAATGTCTGATACGTATTAAGATTGGGATGGCTTTGAGAAAACTTGGACTGAATAATCGCAGAACCAAGATTATCGTCATCCAGGGAAATATGAAGGGAGAAGACACAGATGATTGGGCTCCTTTATACAGTACTTTGGGGAAATGTAATTCAGTCCTGTTGATTATGTTCATAATCTTGGAGAGTAATGTGACTCAAAAATTAATATAAAATAGCATATAAATTCAGTAGTTGCAACTTTCATATTCAAATTCTATAGTACAGTTCAGTATGTTGTTAATCACTCATTTGGATTGTCAATGTATTGTGACTATAATATTTTTCGAGTATTTTAGCCAATAAAATTACCAATAGTATTATGGTAGTTGCTCAAAGTGGAGAAGGCTTTGAAAGAGAGGGAAAATGTGGGGTAAAATAATAAAAAGAACAATAAAAAACCTTTGAAGACCTGACCTAACCCAACCTATAAAGCACGCACAGCACCTTATTGTTGATTTTGGTGTTTAATGTGTTGGTTAAGTTTTCCGTGTTCAGGTGAGGCGGGGATCCATAAACTTGAAAATGGTTTCTAACCTTTTTATACATTAAGGAAGGTTAGGTTAGGTTTTCAAAGGTTTGCTTAGTGTTATTTTTAGTATTTTACCCCACATTTTCCATCTACTTCAAAGCCCTGTCCACTTGTTGGGAATTAGGGAGGTTTTATAGTTTAAAATCCTCAAAAAATATAAATTTGTGCCGGAAACACCAGTGAAGAAAACTGATTCCTAGGTAAAAAAGAATTCTAGTAATATGGTAAAGAATCCAAAATGCCTATTGGGATAAAAACGAATATTAACTGAAGTATTTCCCCTGATGTATCCTCTATAACAGGTCATAACCATACTGTACTTCTCTTGTTATAAGGTGGAGGAGATGGTTAGCACCAGAAATAACTTAAGGAATTGTACCAAAATTTCTGGAGATACTGTTTACATGACCCTGACCCTGAACACGGACACGACAATGCACGGAACCTAACAGAACCTGACCTGACCTAAACTAAACTAAACTAACCTAACCTAACCTTAGCTTCCTAACCTTACCTAACTTCCTAACCTGTGCATTGTCGTTTTGCTTTTTTAACTTATTATCAGCCAAACATCACCCAAACATATTTGTATACTGTATTTTGTTAATATTTTCCACAGTTGTTAATTGGACAATATTAACTAAGGAAACCGATGCGACAACTTTTTACAGTATTATATTATTATTGGTTATTACATTTCCAGGAAGCTTCAAGGACCAGCAACACATTTCAGTATGACCAGTACAGACTCAACCATACACACTGTCCAGACCTATACAGTATATTATGACGGCACCAATGACAACTGATGAAACACAGTTGATCTGTGGGAGGTGAGTCTTACTGTTATTTCACATGTTTTCATTAGGTGTATAAGCTGAGTCTAATACAGTACTTGTGTTTTCCTTTGAGACTGTTTTTACCTTATTTACCTAATGGCCACCCAGTAAAGGTGGCCATGCCAAGGGATGGAAACCAGTGGGTTATGTAAGATCCTGCATTGTTCTTTTAGTATAATGACCTGTGGGTATAATATTTATTAGTCAGTGATGATGATTATAAATCTTATTATTAATAACCATATGGTTGACAATCCCTTATCCGAAATCCTTGGGGTCAGCTGTATTTCTGATTTTGGAATGGTTAGGTTAAGGAATTTTATTTATTTATTCATTTTTATTTTATTTATATTTTATTTCTTACAGGGAGCAGACCACCGGGGCACAGGTCACCGACCCACATTGGGGCCTGGGGGCGAAAATGTAACAACAATAATAATAATAATTCATAGGTCTAGGTCGTCTTTCTCACTTTGATCTTTTTTCATTCTTGTATTTCTTCATTATTATTATTATTATTATTATTATTATTATTATTATTATTACTATTACTATTACTATTATTACTATTATTTCTACATTTTTGCCCCTCTGGCCCTGATGTGTATCAGTGACCTGTGCCCGGGTGAGCTAATCCCTGTTACCTGTATGACAAATAAAAACAAAAAAAAAATAAACTGTTTTGCTCCACTTAAAAACTTTCTGTTTCTGAGTTTTGGATAAGGGATTGTCGACCTATCATGAGAAATGGTTAGGTTATATGACATTAATGATGGCATTGATGATGAGAATGATAATGACAATGATAATAATAACAATGTTTTTTATCCCCCCCACCCCCTCATGTGTGTGAAGATAAGGAAACCTCAAGAGCACAATACACAGAAGTCTTGGAAGAACTCTGAAGAAAACAGTACGAGACATACCAAAAGGTGGGTAACTGACGTATTTTCATTATCTAGTAAAATGACCTGCTGATTTCATAACCATATTATTGATAACCATATCATGAGAAACTATTAGGTTTATGACTATTGATGGTGACATTGATGATGTGAATGATAATCGGAGATATATGATAGAAGTATTTAAGTGGGTGAAAGGAATCAATGAAGGAGATATAGATAAAGTTCTTATAATATCCGAGCAGGATAGGACTCGGAGCAACGGATTTAAGTTGGATAAGTTTAGGTTTAGGAAGGAACTGGTTCACAAATAGGGTGGTGGACGAGTGGAACAAGCTTAGCAACTTTGTAGTAAGTGCTGGAACGCTGGAAAGTTTTAAAAGGAGGCTAGATAGATTCATGGATGATAGAGAGTGGTAGTAACTCTCAACAGGAGCTGCCATGCACAGGCCAACCAGCCTATTGCAGACTCCTTATTTTCTTATATACTTATGATTTTGTCAAGGGTATTTTGTAGTCCAATACTGTTCTTGATTCCACAGCTTGTGTTGGCAGACTGTTCCATAGGTCTACCAGCCTCTGTGTAAAGAAGTATTTCCTTATATTTGGTCTACGTGTTAACTTGGCCAGCTTGTAGTTATGTCCCCTCGTGTTGGTGGTGCAGGACATCACAATGACATGTCCCGGGTTCATGTTTTCATCACTTTCAGGATTATGAATGTTTCATTGAGATCTGCCCCATTGTGGCATGTCTGAAGGGTTGTTAGTCCTAAGGCCCTCGGTCTACTTAGATAATCAAGATGATATAAGGGCGGGGTTGGGTTTTCCTTGTCTCTTTCTTTTCTTTTCCTTATTCTTTCTTTTTCTCCATGAGTTCTGTCTAATTATTTAATTTCCTATAGTTACTCCATAACCTCTGACCTTTGTTAGCATGGTGAGGGTTACGGCACATGGGTTCTGTAATTCTGGTCTCAAGTTATTGGACAAGAATAAAGGCAGATACTGAGGGAAAATGATGCCCCTAACATGCTCTAAAAATGGTTTATTAATATGATATTAAATTTGGTTAAAAATGTCATTAACATACAACTCCTTGGCTTTACTCATCTGTAATTCCAATTAAATAGTCTTGCTTCTTACATCATGACTGGTTGTACATTTAAAAGAACACACCACATGACAAGCAAAGACAGACGATATTTACGTTAAATGAATTCTTTCACTGGGTAAATGACAATTTCACTGTTAAGACATAAACACTGATATTCACAAAATTCACTGAGTTAAGCAGACTTAATATGGCGGGCAGAGACGTACACATACCTGAGATAATGATGGAGAAGCGTCAGAGGAGTGACGCTCTCCTCGCGCACGAGTTTACATTCGGCTAACTGGCAACTCAGGCCTGTGCGGTACACATGCCAGAAAGACTTATAACGCATTGACAGAAATTACGTTCAGCTCGGTTCCTGTACATTTAACTATGAAAATCAATGCCATGATTCAAGTGAATTTCTTATGTCTATTTTTATAAACTAATCAGCGATTGAGCTTGCCAGGAAAAAGTGAAATAGGCATCAAATACACACGCTGTTAACATTAGTTTCACAAACTCAGCGGGATTTCTAGACAAGGAGCCTCTATGGGTATAGGTTGAAATCTTGGAGATAAGAAGTTTGACATGTTCTTTTCAGGTGATTAATGACTTTCCTAAATAAACAACTGACAATAATCAAACTGTAAATATCAGATTTTCTGATGTTTAGGTATCAAAATAATCTAACTTCAATACCAATTGGAAACTCATGGCTATCCCCAAGGACGACATCATGAGATGCCATTCATACAGGCAGACTCGACTCTCACTTACTTGACTACTGTTATTAACAATAGAGACAGTTGAAGCTTTCAACATCACTCACACAGGATCTTGAATGCTTTAAATGTAATCAAACATATCTAAGTTGACTCAAAACAATGGTGTTCTCTCTCACATTCAAATTTACTTTATAGAGAAGTTGGTTTCTGGAAGTCAGAGAAAATGGACGACACCTAAGCTAGGGAAAACGTGTTTCTTCCTAGGGATAACTCCCCAGTTTCCACATGTTTTGCAGGCGTGGAGCATAATATGAATCATCAGGTTTCAAACAGACCAGCCGTGCCATTGTGACCATGACAATGACATACAGTAGTTCAGGAATCATCTTAGTCGCAATGTGTTGTTAGGTCTTTCTGGAGGTAAGGTTTCCATGCCTGTATACATAAACCCAGGCTGGTACATACCTGAGGTTAGTACAGTTGATGGATCATTTTCTTGGTATTCAAATGTACGCTTTATAATTCCTGTATATTGGTTGGCTTTCCTCACTGCTGCCACCCCTTGTTACGTCGCCTTCAGTGGATGATCTATCGCAACACCAAGCTCTTTCTCCTTATTGACAGTTTCAAGGAAAATGTTGTTAACAAAGTAGTTATGATTTGGGTTGTTGTCTCCTACATGCAGTCTTGCATTGTTAAAGATCTTTTGCCACTCTCAAAACCATTTGAACAGCTTATACAAATCTTAACAAAGTTACATCATCATCTTGACTTGCTGTCTACTCAAATATCTTTGTCGTCTACACTCTTGATAATGTGTCTCGATATATTTCATCTTTGTTGTTTATGTGCATCTCAAACAGGCTGGGTTGAAGGATAGAGCCTTGTGCTACACCACTATGAACCTTTTTCCATTCCTAATGTACACCAATAATGACTGCCCTTTGTCTCCTATCTTTGAATTAGTTGTTAATCCACTTCCAAATTTTGCCTGTGAGTCTTTGTGGCTAGATTTTAGAGGCTAACCGTGGATGTGAGACTTTGTCAAATGCCCTAGAGAAATCCACATACATCCATGGTCAAAAAGTTTGTTCAACCCCAAATGAAATGAAACCGCACACTCGCATCAGACGACAGACAGTCAGGGTAAATCGAGTCAGAGACTCATTCCTTTTGACTGACTGTACAACACATCCACTGGTAGACCTTGGTCCATGTGGCCTGCTAATGCTTCAAGGAAAGTGAGCAAGTTTGTCAAGCAGAATATTCTCTTCATGAAACCATGTTGTGATGCATTGATTAAACTGTACTCAGTCAGTTGTTGGATGATCAGGGTGTCTACTTGTCTGGAAATGGCTGGAAAACCTGGAAATAGTCAGGGAATTTTTATGTGAATTCAGTTCAACTTTAAAATATTGTTATTTTGACAGCAATCTTACCATAAATTAATGCTGTATTGTATAATAGGTAAATAATTTAATTTTTAGACGCAAATTCCAGTAAATAGACCACTCCAATAAGTGAATTGTTTGTGTACCTACAGTATTATATAGCATGTTAGTGATCAAATAACCAAATATTACAGTTATACCTACTAATTCTGCAATGAGTATTGTCAGAGATGAATTGTTCTTATAATTAAGTTACTTTATTAAGTGGATTATTCCACATATTAATCATGAGCCATAGGTGGATCAGGAGTGTGATTTTTCATTTTTTGCCGGATTTCCATCTTCTTTTGGAACGTCCAATTCGACCCACGTGAATCTCACAAATCCAAGGAGAAAAATATAGAAGGGGGCTGTGTCAAGGTCTTGGCCGATGTTCATCACTAGGCTTAGGGTGCGTCTTTAAGAGGTCGTCAATTTCTTGATTAATATCATTTGTATCAACTTCAAATTTACCAATAGTTTATACATACAGTAAACCCTCGATAATTCGGCACATATGGGGTTCTGGCCTTGTCGAGTTATCCCATAGTCCAACTTATCGAGACACTTTCTCCTCCTACAAAAACACAACAATAAAAAATGTATCGACCCAGATATGTGTAGTACAGGTAATTACTAAATGTAAAAAGGTAACACTTACTGTAGGTGATACAGAGGTATGGTAGGTGATGTAGATGGTCAGATATGCAGAGATTTTCCCAGATAATTTTTTTATCTTGACATTTCCCGAGTTACACCAATACATTCCCAGACCATATCCATACCCAGTTATATGAAATGCCGAGTTATTGAGGGTTTACTGTATTATTGAAAACCTCAAAATTTGTTACAGTTAACCCTCACTTTACGGTCCCACATTCCGCGTTTCCACGTTTACGCGGTGCCCTGCCGGAACCCAGGATGCTCACATTCCGCGGTGCGTGTACCCCTTTACGCGGAGAGCGGCTGGCGAGCCGCGCCATTTTTGGATCCAAACCTCCCGCCATCCGCCATGTTGTGTAAGCTGCGCGAACATGGTGCGCACAAGGTCGCCCAGTCATCAAAACATTACCAGTTCTTCACCCGCCACCCACCACAGCCGGCCCAAGTCAGTGATAGTGATAATTATGGTGAGGATATGGACTTATATGGACTTTGGGGAGTTTGACAAAGAGGCCCTGCAAGCCTCTGTGGTGGATAGTGATACAATTGATACAAGTGACACAGGTGAGGGCCAATAATCTGCCCTCTGCCTCGGAACCAACCGCCCATCCCCGTGTGCCCAGCCATTTTTTCTACTAATGTAAGTGTTAAAAAACCTAATATTATTGATATTTCTAATTGCTGAATTGTGTGTGGCTTACTCATCATAAAGTTAAGATAATATTTTTACATACCATAGTTGTGTGTCGCCAAAAGTGGAGCTGTGATCGGCCCGACTCCATTTCAATTAATCCCATATGTTATGTTATTCACTTTACGCTTCATGCGGTAATTGGAAATAGCATTAATCAAGAAGTGAGGGTTAACTGTATTATCGTAATAAAATACCAATTAAAGTACAGTATTACCCCGCTTTACACGGTTTCACTTTCCGCGATTTCTCATTTACGCTGTGCCTTGCCAGAACCGGACTTTCACTTTCCGCCGTGCATCTACTCATATACGCGTGAAGTATAATTATTTTTTTTATTTAGCTCATAAAATTCATACAAATTACCCGGCCAGAATATAATTTACATTGCTGGAATTCTTACAATATGATGATCATTTTGAATA